CTGGGGGAAGTGGAGGAGGGGGGAGGCTGCTCTGTTGTCGCCAGGGCTCCTGTCAGAAGGACAGGTACAGCCACAACGGTTCTTCCCGTGGTTTTCCTCTCTGCCCCCTAGTTGATCTCGTCATGAAGACTTGCTTCAGCCCGACCCGAGTGATTAGCTTGTCGAGTGACCTGCAGCAGGTGGGGGCAGCTTCTGCTCGGATTCAGGACACCTTGAGCACCGTGCTGCAGTACGCGGAAGATGTGCTGGTGAGGCCCCCCTGCGGCTTGTTCAGAAGCAAGAGGCGCCGTCGCTTCTCTTCTCCTGACGTGTGTTCAAATATATTGTCTCTCGTTTTGCGTCTAGTCTGGTAAAGTGTCTGCTGACAACACCGTTGGCCGTTTTCTGATGGATCTCATCAACCAGGTCCCGAAGATCTCACCGGAGGACTTTGAGACCATGCTGAACAGCAACATCAATGTAAGTCATTTGAGGGAGGCTGCAAACGGCCGCTTGCTCAGTTACCTGTGTGGAGTCATTTTTTCAAGTCACCGGCCAGTGATGTTTTTGTAAATGTGTTCTTTTTTGCCCATTGGCCAGCATAGAGCAGGTACACTTGTGGACTAATTTGCATGGTTGCCTTGAGCCTCTGGTAAACCCGTCTCCCTGAATAACAAGAAGCACCCTTTCGGAGTCTGACTTGGTTGAGGCAGCCTCCCTCCCTCTTTGGAATGCACTGCTAGGCTGTGTTGATCTGGAAAGTGGCCCACTTGGGGTGAAAGTACAGGCTCTGATTAGTCACGGTGTTTTCTGGGGAAGCAAAAGTGTTTGCACAGCCGATAGCACAAGTGTCACTGTGTACTATGTGAGAGGACCTTTTTTCCAAGCTCCTTGGAACATCTATTACCTCGTATTTGAGCAACATCTGTCATTATTGGAAATGGAGGCTGGAAAGCTCTTGTTGACTCTTGGCGTCCTCCTGTTTGGTATGTGGTATCCGTTGCTGATTCATCCTCTGCTGTTTTGTATCTAATCTTGCAAATGTCCTTTCCCTCCTCTCAGGACCTGTTGATGGTGACTTATCTGGCAAACCTCACACAGTCACAGATCGCACTCAATGAAAAAATCCTAAACCTGTAATGGAACTTGTGGCCATCATGCAAGAAGGAAGCATGAAGAGAACCAGACTGGGGCCTCGTAATCCAAAACCTTAGCTGGACTATTAATTTTGAAAAAGCCTGCTCATGAAACCTTCCTTTCTGCAACCCTCCAGAGACAAATAGGATTGCAAAGATGAAGGGCATCATTAAGAATGAGTTGGCAACTCTCAAACTGAGTGGCTTCTCTAGCTATAAGAACCACACTATTTCTGTTTTGTGAGAATATTTGGCTCTAAATAAGTAAAAATTCAATGTGCAGATGTTTTGGTCATTTTGGTGGTGGGGGGATGGGGAGATACAGACTTCTTAAAATACGCCGTTTGCCTTGACTGATGCCACTGAATCTCCAAATGTAACACTAGGATGTGTTTGCTCAGGCCTTAGGCAGGAGAGAGCTTGGAGTACTGCACAAGTTGGCCATCTTTTGGCACAGAGGCTCCCACACAAATCCTCTCTAGGATTCATCCTTAGTAGAAACACAAACACGGACAAGAGAACCATCTTTTCACATAAGAGGAAAAACTATTTTCACTTTGGAGGGAAAGGCTAGATATAATGGGTCAGATCCAATGTGACATTTTTGCTGGTGCTGTTGTGGAAGCAACCTCTAGCGGTGCACAGTAGCCTACTTACAGTAAGCCGGTTGTATCCTGTCTAAATTTTCCACTTATGGGAAGACATTGTGCAACCTGGAGTGACGCATGCTGCTGCAGAAAGAGGTATTTGGTGGTTGCTTGTGTGGTGCAAGCTGTGACAGCAGTTGCTGATGCACAATAATTTGCATGGTTTACGGAATATGTCGTCCATGGAGTTGTGCAGCCCCTACAGTTATACAGTGTGTCCTCTGCAGTCTTTTGCAGAGATAGAACATGGGTGCTTGAGGCTGAAGAAGGTGAGGGTTGGGAAACACCTCTGCCTGAAGAGGAATCCATGTGGGAAGGTCAGGAAGAGGGAAGTCTGTCGGCAGAGGAACATTCCGTGGGATCACGCGGCCCCCCCCATTCTCAAGATCCACACGTGGCTATTCACTGCCCCCCTGTGGCTCTTCTAAGCCACGTGCTGTTTACCGGTACTCTTCCTGGCTCCCACCCAATGCCGACAGCAGAGCTTCCCTGGCAAGGCTTTCAGTTGGCGGGTTATTCCTGCACTGAACAAGACCTCTGGAGGAAAGAGGATGGGCGGGGGCAGGCACTCCTTCCCACGCTGGTTGGGGGAGGGATCCTACGCTCGTGGTTTTGATGTCTGGGAAAACGGCAAGATGTCAGCATGCTCTGTCATGCCAGAGAGCTTTATTGTGGTTTGCGACTGCGGCTGCAGTCATGCTGATAGTTCATCAAGCTGGGAATGCATGAGATGACGACGACACAAGAATGGAAATGCAGCAAATGCAGTTATGCAAAAAAACCCAGACTAATATGTCACGCTGTACAAAGTAGAGACTTCTGTCTTATTCTACAGTTCTAATTACAGTTATAAACAATACACACAATAATATTTTTGCCACCGTGTATAAATGACATCTACAGCAGTTGAATAGTGACCCAACAGTCTTTGGAAGTACAAGTCTTTCTTTAGAATGATGCCGTCACCAGCTCATGATGCAGAGCGGTGTTTCAAACAGGACACACCAAACAGCAATGGCACGCCTCGGAAGCTTTGCCTGATGAAGCCTTAAGAAACGGCAAAGCAATTGAGGCGTGCCACTGCTGCGGCTATTCCTGAGCCCGTGCCGTCTGTTTTGTGGCAAAACCATAATTGCTGTGTGTATTGTTTGTAACTAATTAGAACTGTATAAGAAGACAGAAGTCTCGAGTGTAATTTGAACAGCGTGACACATTTTGTTTAATGGGACGCCTGAGATGTCTGAATGCAGGTGGTCGGGGGGGGGGGAGTCTTTTCAGGAGAAGCTGGAACATTCCCCTCAACGTTTGCCTCCCAAAGGCAAAGGTTTCTCAACCTGTCAGTAGCCCTCCTGAGTTCTCCGGCGACAAGCCAGCGTCGTGCAGCTCACCGAATGGACAGGAGCCGGTGGTATGTAGGGTGGCGGCGAGATCTGGCAGGAACGACACACAACAAGTACCCTGTGCCAGTGGAGCTGTGCCGAACGACTCTTCCATTCTGTTGGTGCAATGCAGACTCCAGCTTACCGGGTTTAAGTTACAGGAAGATAGATTTCGGTTGACCATTAGAACAAACACATGATAACAGTTCAAATGAACTGTCAAATGTGTGTCAAATATTCAGCCTGCGGGCTCTTATCTGGCATGTGAGCAACTGGGGGGGGGCAGTCCCAATGTGGCCCAGAAAGGCCTGTGTCAGAGTATTCTACTCCCTGCTGAAGTCTCTCTAATGTGGGGACTCCCCCCAAGATCTCCAGGGATTTGCACGAGCTGGAGTTGGCAACCCTTAAGGGGTCAGGACAGGGCTGGAAAGATGGCTGGCTGTTCATGTATGGCAGACAGCATCTCTGGCTCACAAGCGCTTGTGGAAGGAAGCTGCCTGGCTCACCAAACATGCCCGCTTATGCAAGCATGTAAAGGGCGCACTGGTTCGGGTGTGCTGCGCGCAACAGCCCAGGCAAGAGAGTAGAGTGGCACTTATGTGAGGGGGACGCTAAGGGGCTGAGGGTGGAGAAGGCCCAGAGTGACAGAGCCACAGCCTGCTGACCAGCTGACCCGATGCGTCTGAATGGAAGGCGGGGGGGGGGCAAGGTGAAGGTCAGGGGCAGGAGCAGGCATTCAGACACGTAAGCTGGGTTTGCAAGTGGCAGAGGCAGGCACTGGAGGTGTGTCTGTGTTTGCATTTAGGGAGTAATACTCTGGGTGGCTGGATAATGCCGAGCTGGCAGGTGATAACATTCTGCTAAAGGCTATTAAAATGGGGCTGGCATCTTTGGAAAGTGGCAGCACTTGAAGATTGCTTGTGGTGCTGGGGGAGCATAGCAGCAGTTCCTTGTGGTTCAAGCTGGTTGTTGAATTTGGGGCTTTGATACAGGGAGGTGTGGGATTGTGTGGCTGCTAATCGTAAGAGGTTGGGATCGCTGGGTCCCCCTGGTCGATGTCACGTGACTTCCTCTCTTTAGCTGCTGCACCCGTGGCAACGGAATGCAGCACTTCATGCTCCGGCTCGTTAAAAGCCTTTGAAATGTGTTAGTCTTTAAAGAGCCGTGAGATTGGTTGGTGGTTGTACCTTGATTGTCAGGCAGCAGCTCTCTGTGCTATGCAAAACGTTTTGTGCATATCGAGCAAAGGGTGGCTAGGTGCTGAGGAAAGGGTGTGGGTCACGGCCAGTGGTAAAATATCTCTGGTACCTGGCATTACTTTCCGTGGCACACGTGGCCCAGCCTGACAAGGTGACATTGATGACAGAGCCAGCTCTCATAACAAATGAGTTCCACTCCTCTGCTCTGGGGGGGTTTCAGCCAGAGGATGGGAAAGCTCCAGCTGTGCCTTCCATGCTTTCAGAAAGGTCTTGGACTAGGTCACCTACAGGGCTCCAGTGAGCTCACTATGGATGATGCTCAGAAGGCAGCACAGGTTGCCGCAGATGGTGCCATCAAATGCAAAGCATGTTCTTTGGTAGTACATATGAAAATATGTCTTGAGCTCTTCTTGCTTTCAAGGTGGCACAAAAACATTGTGCTGTCTTCAGACAGAGGTTTGTAAATGCTTCATACTGTCAGACTCTGGAACAAACTTACTCCCAACAACACTTTCTTGGCAGTGATTTGTTTATTGAGAGATGAGAATGTGCCAAGCTAAGACTATCTGTGTCAGAACTGATCCTCTTGGCGCTAGTTCTGGTATTATACAGAGTTCAAACAGCCCCCCCCATGACTAGCCCAATCACACCAACACATCCAGCCTGCCAAATCTACTATGCACCATTAGCCCTCCCCCATCACCTGCAAGCTTAGTATCTAACAGTATCTGACTTCCAAGGTCAGGCACACATTCTTCCCAGGGAAGGGAGGGCCTGCTTAACGCCATGAGACAATAGGCATACTGAACCCCAGAACTTCAAAAGAACAGCAGGAACTGTGGCAAACGAGACCCGAGTTTGACATTCTGACCCCCCCAAAGTCCCTCAGGGTGGGTTCTGTGGAAAGCTTTGACTAATTTGGGGACATTGACATGGTCCCTCCAGACCCATTCAATATGACTGGGGTCAAAGTCCTGCCACTTAATGCGATAGTAGAGGTGGCCACATTTCATCTTAGAGTCTAAAATTTCTTCCAGAACCTGGTGGGGCTCCCCGATCACCATCAGAGGAGGAGGAGGAGGTCGGGTCTCCATTTCAAGGGTCCAGGATCCTTCTTCAGCAGACCGACATGGAAAATAAGATGGATGTGTCCTAAGTTCTACAGCCACTTTGTTAATCACTCTCACCACCTTAAAAGGGCTCATGTGTTTCCACCTCAGCTTTTCCCCTGGTTGCCTCCCCCCCCCCCCAAGTTTTTGGTGGAAAGGTACACCGAATCTCCAAGGTTAGTATCCCATTCAGGTGCCCCGTCTTTATCCGCCTGGGCTCTTTTGCCTTGGTCAGAGTCTGCTGACCACCAGTCTTGTAAATCCTTAGGCCTAGTGGGCTCTGTCACAATTGTAGGAGGGGGGGGCTCATATCCACGCACCACTTTGAGTCCCTGTTCCACCTCCAGAGTTTTTAATGATTCCCTCCAGAACGCTGCAATGAACTGGGACCCCTGGTCTGAGATTATTTTCCTGGGCACAGAATGTCGTCTCACTGTGTGATGCATAAATAACGGCACCAGCTTCTTGGTGGATGGCATTTATTTGCAGGGGATAAAGTGGGCTTGCATTGAGAAAAGATCAGCCGCCACCAACATAACTGTCCTCCCTTTGCTGGGAGTCCGACTCTTCGTGACCCCATGGACCAGCTCCCGCCAGGCCCTTCTGTCTTCTGCCGTCCTCTGAAGTTTGCTCAGTTTCATGTTTGTTGCATCTATGACACTGTCCAACCATCTCATCCTTTGCCGTCCCCGTCTTCTTTGACCTGATTCAGTCTTTCCCAGCATCAGGGTCTTCTCCTCCAGTGAGTGCTCCCTTCTCATTGGGTGGCCAAAGTATTTGAGCTTCAGTTTCATTATCTGGCCTTCCAGGGAACGGTCAGGGTTGATTTCTTTTAGGATTGACTGATTTGATCTCCTTGCAGTCCAAGGGACTCTCAAGAGTCTTCTCCAGCACCATAGTTCAAAAGAATCTATTCTTCGGCGCTCGGCCTTCCTTAGAGTCCAACTCTTGCAGCCATACATGACTACTGGGAATACCATTGCTTTGACCACGCGGACTTTTGTTGGCAGGGTGATGTCTCTACTTTTTATCATGCTGTTTAGGTTTGCCATCGCTTTCCTCCCAAGGAGCAGGCGTCTTTTGATTTCATGGCTGCTGTCACCGTCTGCGGTGATCTGGGATCCCAGGAACGTGAAGTCTGTCACCACTTCCACGACTTCCCCTTCTATTTGCCAAGGTGGTAGGTTCATTATAAAGTCCATGGAAATGACCGACCAGGGCCTCTCAGGGATTTCAGGAAACTGACATAATCCAGGGGGTTTCCCAGCCTGTCGCTTCCCCATTAAGCACCCTGGCAAGAAGAGCCGCCAGCCCACACACATGGCCGCCAGGACTGCCTTTGGAGCAGGGACTCCTTTGCATGTTAGGCCACACCCCCCCAAGGTAGCCAATCCTAATGAGTGTCTGCTGCTGGGCGTGGCCCGTTATGCTAATGAGTTCCTGCTGGGCGTGGCCAACTCGGGAGCCAGCCGGTGCCCCTTCCTGCCCCCAAACAGCCCTGGCGCCAGCAGCCTCAGCCCAGGCGGGAGGGGCTCCCCTTCGGCACCGGCTGCAGCTTCCGGATTTGGGAGGAGGGCGGCCCCGTGCAGAGAGTGCCTTGCAGTCACCCAAGCCTTTCAGCGTGAAAACCGCCTGCGTGCGTGAGGACCCCTGCTTTGGGGCCGTGGTGGTGGTGGTGGTGGTGCCAGGAATCTATCGGGGTGGCTGCCTGGGTGTTGTGGCGCCCCCTTTGGACGAGCCCGTGGCCTGCCACAGGAGGGCCGTTTTGTTTCGTCTCCCTGTCAAGAGCCATCTGCGTTCCTGAGGCTCCCCGGAGCCCCGACGTTCCCCTCGTTCCGAATCCGGAGTGCGCGGCCAGGTCCCGCGCCTCCCCCGTCCTCGCTTGAACGATCAGCCGGCGGCGGCCCCCTTAGTTCCCCTCAGACGCAGACCCCCGGCGCGCTCCGCCCGGGACGGTCCGCCCCCCCCCCCCAACAGAGGCGCCCCCGGCCACCCTGGGCTCCCTTCTCGGCGCCGGCCGGCGGGCGTGCGGGCTCCTCCTCCTCCTCCTCCTCCTGGCCGGGGGGGGGCGGGGGGCGGCCCTCCCTCCTCCTCCTCCTCCTCCTCCTCCTCCTCCTGGCCGGGGGCGGTCCAGGCTCTGCGGGCGAGGCTCCATTTTGCAGGCTAGTGCTGCGCGGCTGCGGCTGAGGTGAGAGAGAGAGAGAGAGAGGGCCCCTTCCCCTCCCTCTCTCCCTTGGGCCCCCGGGGGGGGGCGGGGCGGGGGTC